TTTTGCTTGCAAAACATGACTGTGAGGTCTTTAGCAGATCCGGACCTGCACCAGGCAGATGCAGTACTCTGACCTCACACATCTTCCAGCATCACCTGAATAGATGCCACCAGCCTGCCTACACAGGTTCTTCTCTGATGCAGGTACAAGTGGAATCCTTCTGGCAGTTCCTCCTACACAACTGTGAAAGAAAGAACTGCTCCATCTTTCTTGGTCCCTGATACCATGCCAAGAAGCTACTCAATCTGAAATGAGCCAAGTTTACTATTAATGAAAGAAGCACCTGTACAGAGCATGAACACATGGTAAGTAAGGTCCCAGACAACTCAGCCAGTACACTGTAGTACTGACTTGCAATACTCTCATAAATGTACACTTGCGGAGTATGGACAAAGACTAAACAGAAACCACAAAGTTCTAATTTGAGACTCGAATCAATTATGAACATGGAAACATTTTAAATGCTAAAATAAAGATCTATGTCACTTTAAAAATGCTTTGACATCCTAAGTTCTCAGAAAACCTATTATTTAAAATGAAGAAGGATCCATAAAAAAGCTAAACAACCCAATACCCTGAGTAACACCAGAAAGTTAGTTGTTTGATGAAAAAGTGAACTTCCCCTTGCTTGAAAGCAAGTGCTATACAATCACGTATTGAATGCTTTGCACAATTCCTGACACAATGTGCTTTGACTCAGTAAATACCTGTGGCATTTGCTGTCCGCCCAAAGGAATGGAGCTTGGCGGTGTAGCAGACACAGCGGTGGTAGGCGGGAACCGTGGTCTTATTTGCATCCCACCTCGGGCCATAGGTGCGGTGATCATCTTTGAGGACAGAGGGACAACAGACAAAAGTAATCGCAAAACAAGAAATGCAATGCACTGGCAGGATGAGAAGCACATGCAACCTCCAGGAATTAGGGGGAGGGGGAGCATGAAGGGAAGGTTAGTGAGCTTTTCTCTAAAGCTTAGCCTAACATGCTAGCTTATAAATCAAACTCCTTTTTATATCCTTTCTATCAATTTTTAGAAAGCATCTAATAATTCTAGGTATCTTGAGAGAGCTGATATGTAGATTCAGATTCATGGGTCAAGGGTTGACTATGCTATCATTTGCATGAAGGGCTTTTCCTAAACTTTGCCTGACATCTTGAATTTCTAGAATTCTTGGAAAGAAGTACTCTAAGACTGTTGTCAAGAATGCTCCATATAAGAAGCTATATAATGCCATAGGTTTCTGATGTGCTTTCACCCACTGTGGACTCAAAGGATTTAGCAGTATTTGCATATAAAATAATTTGGCAGACAGTTCAACAGCAACTGTCAGTAGAAATGCTCCACAGTGAGCAAAATTTCAGACCAACCTAACCTATGGCAGTGTAACAATGCCAAAAACAACAAAAAGGACTCCTGGGTTTGAAAAAGCTATTTCCTTCCTTTTATAACCCACAGAATAAGTCAAATATATCCTTGTAATTTCCATCATTTTGACAAATACCCATTCCTCTATTACTAAGCTGTGCTAAAATATTCTGTTATGAGTCCACAATCTGCCTCAAGCTTATTCATGCACTATTTGATTCTCCAGATGTATAGGCTAAACACACCCTAAAGTATAATCATTTAGGAGAAATGATGAAGGTTAGCATTAGAATTTGTATTTTAAAACAGTCTTAGGACTATGCTGCTCTGCAGTGTCTAGAAGTGCCTTTCAGAACCATCAGCCTGCATGAGCCACACAGATATAATCAGATATATCTCTATAGCCCTCTGTTACTTAAAATTTTATATTACACCATATATGCTGAGAATTTACAGCAAATACAGCATATTTTTGAGGTAGCATTTGGGTAACTTTGGCAGATTCGCTTATCAGTAAAGGAGCTTCCGTTTGGTACTTCAAAGATCTACAGTAAAGTTCTCTGGGCTACTTTTTTTTCCAGCAAACGTATTACCAAGGAACCTATACAGGCCCTAACTAACCTACGAGTTAATGAAGTCTCCTTTCAGTAAATGGTTTGGGGCATTCTTGCTTAGTGTTCTATGTAAATGGACAGAAGCAGCCAGCAACATGTCTCTAGAGAGTCAGAGAATGCATGTGCTTACAATTGTTAAAAATAAATAAAATTAAATACAACACAGCAAGACTGAAAAAGGAAAGCAATAACTGATAAAGAAAATAGTGTCAAATTCAGCACAGCTGTTAGTTCACAACATCAGAGCAATGCAGTCCCTTTCCATCCAGGCAAAGAGGGATGGTCAGAGACAGGATTTCAGAAGGGAAACAAATGAGAGCGCTTCAGACATCACACACACATGCACATGTACACACACAGCATGCAACAGCCACCACAAGCAAACACAACAACCAAGCACTGGCACAAAGCACAGGTGGATGCTACAAAGTGCAGTGAAGAGCTACAGTATCAACATGAGAGCTGGTGAAGCAACACAACCCTAACAAAACAAAAACAAAACAAAAAAAAAAAAAAAAGGGAAATTGCTAGGGGGAAAAAAACCACCAACATATCCCTCTAGGCACAATCACCCCATCTTAGACCCTCGTGAATGCACATGGATCTCTGGAGCGTGTGAAATCCCAGGGATGTTATCATGACCCACATGTCCCATGTTGGTCCTGTTTCCCATGCCACACCACCAAAGTGTGAAGATTTAGATTACTTCCTCCGAGGTCAAGGAAATTAGAACCATATTCACAGTTTAAGTGTCTGGCAAACTACTGAACACCAGCATGACAAACTCCAACTCAAAGGGTTTCAGCTGTTTGTTTTATTGTGGTTGGTCAAACATTTATGCACACGCACACAATTCTGGTTTTGATTTTTTGTATTTTTTGTTTTTTTGAAATGTGTGCTTTGGAAAGGAAGTATATATATATAAAATGACACCAATTCCACTCTCTCAACAAAAGTAATCTATTTTTCCCATTCTCCAGCTGATTTACATTTATGAAATCTGTGACCCTTTGACAAAGGAGTGGGGAAAAGGGGTTCCAAAGATTGCATCTGTTTTATGCAAAGCAATATATCCATGAAGGAGTTGTTCTTGTTAGTCTAAAAACAGAAGGCAACCAGAAGTGTTCAAGTACTTTTGAAAAAGATTTAAACTGAAGGCAAATCCTCCTCCACAAGTGAAATTGATTTATCTCAATTTACAGAATCAACAATTTTACCCCATAAAAACAGAGAACAAGCAGAGGAAGAGAGTCTCCCTCCACTGTAAGATACAAACCCCATTATTTGATAAAAATGAAGTGGAATATAACAATTAGGATCCTGAACCTGTAATTTTCTTTCATCTAAAATCCAAAGATTCAGAATTCCGTAAAGATGCAGCTTCTGGTGAGCATATGTAAGTACTGCATCACCGTCACTCCACTAAAGGCAGCTCCGATTTTCAAAGAGCAACAGCCCTGATTTTCAAAGAGCAACAGCCAATCTGCATTCTGAGCACCTGAAGGAGTTGCACCAGAACAGTGATTTAAACTTTATTAATACTTAACTCCAGTTGATTACAGATTTTCTCTTGGTGCTGCAAGCACTTGTGTAGCACTCTGTGGTCACTAGGACATTACTTTGTTTATTTATCAGCTTCACCTGCGAGTGACATGCTCACAAGAACTAGGCAGCCAAGCAGGGTAACATTGACCTGCGTGGTGTCTTTACGACTTCAGAGAAGAACTTCAAAACTCAGATGGATCCATGTTTAAACCTGAGACTGCTTTTACTTTTATGTAGTAAGGATGAACAGAAACTTTACAGAAAAGGAAGAACGCAGCCATATCAACCAAAATTCCCAGTTTGAAAGCCCCTAGAGACTAAGTTTAAATTTAACAAGCAAAGATTAGGATAGGGTTTGTTTATAACAAAAGCTTCCCTGAACCAAATGAAGAAATCAAGACAGATTTATTAAAAATACTGGTGCTAGTGTAAAAAATGTACTAAATACAAAGCAAAATCTACTCTTAAAAGAAACTTATAAATTAAAGAAAATCCATATCCACTCTCAACACCGAAGCTGCATTGTAATATTGTACACAGCCACAATCTTAAAACTAAATATTTATACAGAAAATATTTACAGAAGTACAAGAAACCCATTTAATTATTGGACTTCACAGCGTTAAGTGAATTTTAGCAGACTCATATTGCAATGGCATGAACATAAATGGAGTAAAGCCTATACGTGGAATTTTCTAAACTCCATCCGCAGTAGGTAACGAGCAACCCCTGAGTTTACTACACATGTCTGAACAAAGCTGCAATACAAAACCCGCTGTCAACCACCTTATCACCTGGAACTTTTCAAATGCACCGTGCTGTTAAGCCACTGGCATATGAATTCACTAAACGGGGCAAGAATTAAGTTGACTCTACATAAGCACAATCCATCTGCTTAGGAGTTGAAAAGAGCACCATTACGTTAGTAAAAAGAAAAAAAAGTCAGAGTCTCCTTCCAGTCAGCCTAAGTCCCTGCAGCTCCCACCTGGAAATTATTTAAGAAACAAACAGAAGTTTTAATTCACTTTTCAACTGTAGAAAGAGAATTCTGCATGGCTGCCAGTACTGTACCACCTGTACTTACCACTGCTCAGCTTTTACATCCTGTTTTACATTGACACAAGCAAAAGGACCAATACAGAAACAGAACTTAGCCACCAACAAGGATGTGGGCCACATGGGAGTTATGATGGTACAAGACACTATTCCTGATACAAGTCTGGGAGATGTATGTTGAAGAACCAATTGTTATCACAGTCCATGTAAAAAGCTTCCAAATGTCTTACTGAATCAATAATATACTTGTGCGCTGAAGGGAAAATGGTGCATGCAGACATGGAATGTCTGGGTATACGAAAAGAACTCTGCCATTAATCCTAGTCAACCTCATTTCATCTGTCTGCTTCAGTCTCTTCATCTACAAAGTGGTGATAATTGTACTTACCCATGTCTGTAAAATGTCTCAATATGAAACACTACAGAGGTAAGCCACGAAAGACTATTTCATATTCTTGTGGAAAATGGGATGAGAGGTTCAGCTCAAGCCATTCCCAATTTTTTTTTCCCCCATGTCTCCTTCATACCATACACACATCAAGGAACAATCACTGGGGCTACAAGTGTATTGCAGGATAAGAAAACTGTGTTAGACAATAAGCTTTCACCCAGCACTTTTTTTTTTTAAAATGTAACTCTGCACTTGTGACACATGCCATTTTTTCTTCACAATTCACACCCAGAACAAGAGCAATCTATATCTACTGCCCATTTCACTCAGAAAAAGAATGAAAGATGAAAGGAATGAAAGGGGAGTGCAGAGAGATTTAATTGTCTATACTATATTTTTTATGGTCGATACATGGAGACGGAAGGTAAATCACATGTGAGTAAAGATAGCAGGCAAAGATTCACAGTACAGAAATCAGTTTACACAACAAAGCAGTCACCTAAGAAAGTTTAACAAAAGAAGAGGTGAAACACTCCAGGTACCAACAGTCAGATTGTAGCGTGACCACAGTAGGCCGTCTTATTGATGTGCATTCCTGTGTCAGTACAGGCAACAATCTTACCTACTTCGGACAGAGAGCATGCACAGAGAGGTTGTCAACGAAATCCTGCCTCTGACTCCAGGCAAAGGAAAAACAGCATAAAAGCCCATATCCCCTTTATAAAGGGGATGACCAATGTCAGACCCCTCATCAGAAAGCCACCAGAAACCCATCCCCATGCTCATCTCTAGCATGCACTTGCTACAGGCCTATAACTAGTGATACTGGCTCCGGGGCCCTTACCTGCCCTGAAGCTCCCATCTGAGCAGCTTGGGCCTGAGCTGCTTGCACTGCTGCTGCTGCCTGCTGCTGCTGGACCAGCTGAGCTCTTACCTTAAGTATGAAAAGAAAGAACGAAGTAAACATACATATCTGATTAGGGTATGACGCTTCTGTTTCAACTATATTGACTATACTCATAAAAAAGGGTGTGGAGACAAGATCAGCCTCACATACATACTCTAGGAAGAGTTTTTGAGCTTTCTTTACAAAAACAAGTTCCCATGTTTCTAACATTTAGAACAGTCTTCCCATAGACTGCGCACCCAAGATTCAATTTCTTCTTGCAACTTCTTCCCTGTACTATCAGGTCTTCCTATGACAATACTAGATACTTCAACTTTCTGGCAAACATAGTTAACCACATACGTGTTGATTTCCCTCGAGCACACTGTATTAAGCACCTACCAATGAGCAGCATTTCAAATGTTTATACATCCATTACAACTGTCAGTGTGGTGTATATGACATCTAACTACTCCCAGCTTAGCTGGCAGGAGCACAAAGTGGATGTATCAACTCATCCATGTGGGGTCAATAATTTCTCAAGCGTGGCTGACACTCCACTCTTCCCCAGCAAAGCCCAAAGAAAAGCAGGTCTTGGGATTACATCTGAGCTTTTGCGCAACAGCATACATGGAGCCCAGAAAAAACTGACTGTAATGCAACAGTTCAAAAAGCTGCACCATTAAGAGGATGACCCAGTAAGAGGTTCAACAGAGTAAAACTATTTGCAGAAGCAAAGCTAAAATGCTAGAGAGCCAACACTGGCTCCAGTCACATGCACCAGGCACTTCAAAGCACTTGCTCATGTTCTAGAACAGCACACATCATGGAAGTGATTTTTCTTTAACTGGACTTTGTTTCTTTTTCTTACTTGTTCATGCAAGAGTAAGACAAGAAATTATTTTTAAATATTAGCTGCATAAATAGCTTTCACAGATTTCCAGAAGTCCTACTCTTAGACACAAACTTGTTCTCTACTGGCAAGCCCAGACATAAACATTTAAACTCTCTGTACTCACAACACGCGAACTACAGATCTCTTAGGAAGCTATGTTTTTTCCTACTTCATTATTAGCAAAAGTCAAAGAATTTTTTGTATTTCTCTAGAGGATCATAATGAACAATCAATCAGCTGGTCACTAGCCCTTACCTGCATTGCTTTTAATTGCTGTGGTGTAAGGGTAACAGGCATAACCTGACTAGGAATTTGTCCTGAGATTGCCTGCGGCTGAGATACCATGGGCTGGGGCTGAGGCTGGGATTGTGGTGGAAGCTGAGACTGTTGTGCCTGAGCAACCTGTTGCTGTTGTTGTTGTTGTTGCTGCTGCTGCTGTTGCTGCTGCATCTGTTGCATCTGCTGTTGCATTACTTGTTGAGGTGGCTGTTGCTGTATCTGTTGTTGTGGTATTTGTTGCTGTTGCTGCTGCTGCTGCTGCTGTTGCTGTTGTGCCTGCATAGCCTGTGCTGCCTGCAGCTGCTGCATTTGGGCAATTCGCTGTAGTTGCTGCTGCTGCTGTTGCTGTTGCATCTGAAAAGCAGGAAAAGCCAGGATGCTAAAGCTTCCAGCAATGCGATAGCAGCCTTATTTTTATACCATAAACCAAGAGCAAACAGAATCCTAATATACCATACTGAAGTTTTAAGTCCAAAGGGAAAGCCCAACCTTTTTATCCACTCACTCTTCATATATCTCAACTCTACACAGTGCACATCCCATGGTTTCAATACTACAAGCTTGTCTCGGTACTAAAACAGTTTTCAAAAGCAAAGACGAAGTCCATCAGCTTCTCCTGTACAAATGGGCTCAGAAGCATTTCTTTAAATGTAACCAGCCTGCATTAGCACCACTATTTACCAGAAACTGCACAAGAGCATGACAGCTGAAGTTTCCTCTTCTGCTTTTGTGCCTAAAGATGATACACATATCTGATGTGCTTGGCACACATTTTTTAAAGTGGCAATGTGTAATTCACACAATTACAAAACAGCCACTATCTCTAAAGTAATACAAGTGCTTTTAGTTCTTTCCCACATTCCTGTTTTTGTCAGAATGAAAGACTATCCTGATGTTTATAAAGAGAAGGAGACAAAGGTTTTAATTCTCTATTGCTATGACAGAAGAAAGCAACCACATGGCTGTTAAGCCTTCCCTCTGGGATGTAATATATTGTTGCCAATTAACTTGCAAGTCTAAACTGAAGTTCTACCCCAAAGTGGAAACGCGTTAATAACAGGCAGAGCTGATATTCAGTACTTCCATGCAAGCCAAGCCTCACTTGACAAGTAACTGAACACAGATCACCTCAATTGCCATTGTAATTGTTTGTCATCACCTGCTGTTGGTTTTGCTGCTGCTGCATCTGCAGCTTCAGCATGTGCTGTTGCTGCTGCTGGACGGCTTGCAGCTGCTGTTGCTGCTGCTGCTGCTGCTGGGCTGCTGCAGCTGCTGCTGCCTGCTGCTGCTGGACTTGAAACTGTTGTTGCATGGCTGACTGCTGGGCCTGGAATTGCTGCTGCTGCAAAGCCACCTGCTGCTGCTGGAATTGCTGCTGCTGCTGCTGCTGCTGCTGAGCTATCTGCTGAAGCTGAAGTTGGGCTAAAAAGAAGGTAGAGTGTACTTAAAACATGAGATCCAAACAGTGTGAGAGACAGTTACCCAGTATAACTCATCGTATTGAAGATAAACCCTAAAGTACATTGATGTTCTTCGTTAGCAGCATATACTTTTGCTTCCTCAAATGCATGAGGCACATTAACAGCCGAATTAATGACACTTCCTACTACCAACTTCTAATTCTCACGGCCTATATTGAGTCAGCAATCTAGGTAAAGAATGTAAAAATGTGCAGGAGGAAATATGCATTGAGGTCACCAGCATGAAGCACCATACCCATAGAAAACATAGGTGAGCTCTACAAAACCAAATTTCTGAAGTTGACATCTTGTATGACGAAAGAAGCATTTGCTCATACAACAGCTAGACTGTTCCTCACTATACTACGGAAGACATTTATCCCATCAGATAGCAGTATTTGAAATCAATTCTTCCTGCAGTTCACTTGGCTGATTTAGCCTGAAGTATGAAATCTCTTCAGCACCCTTTCCTTGTGGAAAAGAGATATGTACTGAAAGGCTGATCTAAGAATTTCATTGGTCGAAGCAAACTGAACACTTACTCTGCTGAGTAGCTGTAGAGACACCAGGCATACCATGAGGGGCCATTCCCGAGGTTCCAGGAGGCTGCTGCTGCCCTGGGAGACTCATCTGTTGTCCCATTGGGCCAAGGCCACCCATCCCACTCATCGGTGCTCCTTGAGCTCGAGAAGCCATGCCCATTCCAGGCGCCCCTGCTGGGGGACCCCCAGTTAGATTCTGCAGGGCATTCATCGGATCTACAAAGAAAATAGTTACCAATATGCTGCCAGCCATGCAATTGCCTCCCCAAAATCCTCTGTTCTCCACCATCACCACTCTCTGATCTGTCGGCTTCAGACCATGACTAGATCCAATACCGTGAGAATCTAACATTCACTGCTCTGCCTGTGAGACCACAAGAGGTTTCTGGCACGTCTTTGCCCCTCTCTAGAGTGGAGATTATTTAAGGTGCTTCAGATTTGCAAAGTTCCAAATAGATTCTAAATACATTAGAGAAAAGGAACTTATTAGCCACCTCTGAATTTATATGCTAGTCGAAACAAGCTGCCAACAAAACTCCATGAGGATATGCAGCTTGTAACCTCGAAAACCAAGAAGAGAGTTCCACTGTGGATCCAATTAGCCTCTTCCTCCTGAGGTCAATATGGAGAAGCAGTGCTCAGACCAGAGGAAGTACTTTGCTATACAGTTCCCCCATAACATCACATTTATTATGCAGTGGATAAATTCAGTGCCTTTCAAGATAATTGTCATAATCTGAATCCTGGGCACACAGAAAAGTGAAGTCAAAGAGGAAATGGCAATTCAAGAGAGCAAAACACAACATGGGGTGCAGAAGCAATATTAATCAGGTACAGAACACAACACCCCCTCTTTCTTAAGAATACTTATAAAATAATTTCCAATTGTCTAATGTTAATCAATCACAGACACTGCATATTTAGCCTACAGGGGGATAAAAATAGAGGATCATACTATGTCCCTAACATACACTGCTGTAAGAATTAGCACAGAGGCAGAAGATATGATCAGATCTAACCTCAGTCAAACGGAAAAAAAAACACAAACACAACACTTGCCTCTGATGCAACACCCTGAGAGACCTAAAGCTGGTAACAGGGAGAAACTTGGACTGCTCAGCAGGAGATTATATTCAATCACTCTTGTTCTTTCAAGAATCTTAGTGTTGTGAGCTAACAAAAGTACAAACATCACTGAACAACTCCAAGACTATCATGCTACCTTCCCTTTCCTCCAGTAGCATTTAATATTCCAGCTAGGGAATCCAAGGCCTTCTTATACTTAGTACACCACAGCTATGATTTCTAAGGTGTTCTATTTAGAAAGGGGAAGGGGAGGGAGAGGAGAAGGGGGAAAAAGAAAAAAAAAAGGAGCTCTTACCACTGACTGAGGCTTGAGATTTCTTATTGTCTGCAAATGAAGAACAATTAATTGCCTTTGTTAATCTTGTCACACTTAAATTTGGCCCTTCAGATATACTCTCTACAAGAAATATATTCACATAATAATTTAAAAAATAAAAAAATCACTGTCTACTGTAGTTCTAACAAAATATATTAACGTAAGCCAATTTGGTAACCAGAATGCTGCATAAACAATGGAAAGAAAGCAAAAATACAGGAAAAAATTAGGAAGGTGGAAAAAGTAGTAAGTTTAAATAATTTCTCAAAGACTTTTCCATTATAGATGGATGTTAAAAGAAACAGTATTTAGAAATTAAGCATGTATATTACAGGAAAATTTTTAAAGCAACCTGTGAAGAGTCACATGCAGAACCACACATACAAACCCTAAAATTTACTTATTTTTTGGGAGGATGGGATGAGCAATCCCATTACTGAGAAAAAAAACCAAACCCAAACAATTACTTACGAATATCTCGAAAATGAATAATAAGTCTGGCCACAAGAGAAAGATATTCCTCCTAAAGGTGAAAAATGAGTATTTTAGCATAGGAAATAAAAACATTGTAACCATGACTTTCTGGTTCTTCAGTGTTCTTCCTCAGCATAACAGATTTTACTTTACAATGTCTGTGGGTTTTTCAGAGCAGTTCACTTGCAAGGAACAGTCTGTTCATTAACTAAGCGAGATATTTTTACTAATAGGTCATTGTGGTTGATGGTAAAAGAAGGCCAAGAAACCACAAAATTCACTGGAAAGAACCTCCGTGACAGTCACATTAATAGGATTACAATATGTGAACATAATTATAAACCAATACATCCATTTTGCACTTCTTATCCACTCTAATTCCTTTTTCTTAAGAATTGAACCTGCTTACTTAGTACACTGACTTACTTTAGTCCTTGAACTCTGTCACATTCATACTGCAAGAACTTTTTTAAGCTAAGTTATATTACAAATACAAATAAGTTAACTTTAAAGACTAACATACGATAGAAGTGTCAGAAAAGACAAATATTCTTTGCAGCATTTTATTAGTGTGCTTCATAACATGTAAGAGAAACTGCACAGGGCTGAGATAGCCTTCCTGCCCATGAAACTACCAACTCACCAGTGAGGATGCCATCAGCAGGCATAAATTTGTGACATTAGCATTATGAAATTTTCACCAAGACAAGTTTATCTCAAACGTGGCTTGTTTAGAGACAGCAACAGTATCCAGTTTCTCATAACACAGCTCCAGGAAAGAAGTTTACATTTTTGTAGTCTAAAATTGTACATGATAACCAGACTTTCACAGAGACCACAGCACTTCCCTTGGTCTTACTCCTGACACAGTCTTTTCATTGATATCTTAGTCTCTCCTGACCACCAAACTGGTCATAGGTGCTATGCTGCAGATAAAGGAAATTCTGTGCAATTCACTACACGCAAGTCTTCAGCTAAGAATTAAGTGCGATCCCATATATGCGTTAAATGCTGCAGCATCAGCAAAGCTGCCTTGGACTAAAGTCCAGTTTGATGTGTATATTGGATGCAAAACACCTCACTTCCCCTCAGGGTAAAAGAAGCACATATAAATCAAAAATTTTGCTTAACTATGTACTCTAAGCAGAGACAGTTAACTAAGTGCATTGGGTTTACTATTTCTGCGGGTTGTTCCAAACTTGTTTTGACACCCCAGTAACTTCTGGAAACAAATAGAGATGCTTTACCCTTGTTTTGGCCTTCATAAACACATGACTCTCCATATCTTTGCTGGATTTATTATGGGCAACACCAGCCTTCCTCATCGCGTCATCACTGAAAAAAGAGGAAAAACACAAGGCTGGGTATTAATTGAGGACATCAGAAAACACTTTCTGTAGTTAGGAAGGTCTGTAAAACAGCTTTTTACCCCTCTCATTTATAGAGGGGTAAAAAACACCACCCACATACATTACTTAAAATTGCCACGCTTTAAAATTTCTTCAAATAATAGAGAAAAAAGCCAACTCATTTCTAAAAGGCAACACAAATATTCTTTGCAGAAATTCAAGAACAACTGCTAAGCAAGTCGTTATTTTACCACCTGATGTATTATTTTGACAAAATACCACGACCTGTTCATTTGAGGAAAGCTGAATGACAGGATTAATGTAATCCGTGTTTGGCAAACAATGGGCTTGAGCTTGCCTAGCATCAGGCATTTCCAAAAGAATCCTCTTAACATAAGGTGGAAGAATTAAAAAAAAAAAAAAAAAAAAAAAGATTGCCTAAAGGCAGAGAGGCTTGACCACCAGCGAGAATAACAAATGGGAGCATTGAACAGGGGCAGAGAAGAGCAGAGGTGCAGCAATGGGCAGGGCAGGGAGGGGACAATCAACATGAAAGCAGCAGGTGAAGCAATAAGATGAAAAGAAGGCCCTGTTGATGGAAAGTTGAGGGGAAAAAAAAGAACATGTTTGGTAATAAAAAGCTTTCAACTCCCTTACTGTTCTTTCCCATTTACCAGCCAGAATCACAGGGACTTGCTGTCCTTTCTCCATCACACCTCTAGTAAATAGGATCTAGATCTGCCCTCTGGATGGGATATTGAACATGCAAGATGAAAAGGAGGAAAAAAAAACCCAAACACCACCACACACCAAAACACACATTGCTAAGGACATGGGTGGAAAAGAAGGGGCATTCTCAGTACATCAAAAAGTAGCAAGCAATTCAACTGTGAAACATGCAACGAGATAAAGACGTCCTAAAATGAGGAGTTCAGTCAGGTGAACAGCTCTATTCAAACCCTCCGGGCATTCTCATTCTCAGAAACATTTCACTTCACTGCAAAACCTGTTCGGTTTTAAAGCAGCCTAGCAGCTACAGTCTAAATTCCACAAACAAGTTACCAGGAAATACTTTCACCTTGTAATTAACATCTCAGCAACTTATTTCTCAGGAACTGCTGTTGCATGAGCAACTACCCTACACTAAATGCGTGTTAGGGTAGTGATCCCTGAAAGTTTCAGCCAGTCTGAAGGGGGACTACTGTTTTCTTCCCCCTGAATTTCTACCACTTCCCATGCAGCAGGATTGGTGTTTGCATGAGCAGTAAGCAGGTTCAGCTTCTTGAATTAACTCAATTACACAGTCGCAGAAGTGAGAAGAGCAGATGCTATAGCCTTAAAATGCAGGAGCTTAGGCTGCCACAACTCACACCCTTACCTTGCAAACTAGTAGCCTAGTGGCATACATCTAACCTGCTGTAGCCTGCAAAGTAGAAGACAGTAGAACATAGCTACCTGCTGTAAGACTCTCTCACGGTAACTTGTTCGTGTGGTCAGGCAGACACTAAAAAAATGTTGTTTATATATGAAGGTTACTTAAACTGAAGCAGAATCTGAACATAATGCAGAATAACTATTCCTCCATGTGCAAATAAGCCTTAAAGGGAGCTGCTCATAAAGGAGCTCCAGATGCAGAGGAAGAAGCTATATCCAATTCTTTATTGACACCTCCCTTTTTTAATGCTTCCCCTTTGAGAAAGGCTACCTCTAAATCCACACTACTCTGTGATTCCTCCTTAACAGTGCCATAGTACAACGACAATGCCTCTCATTTTGAGAGCACCAAGAACTGAGCAGGCAGAAAGACAAGAAAAAGATTATGCAGGGGCAAGTAAAGGAAGTAACAGGTAGGTAGTAGCACATGACTGTGATACAGACAGCAATCAGTGCGGTATCAGGAACTTGGAAAAAAATCCACAGCAAAGAAATTATCTACTTTTATATGTATCTACCGTTTCCTTTTGATGTTATAGAACATGAAAGACATTTTATAATGACTACATCTGCATTACCAATAATGCCACTCCAAGCATTCCATGTCATATCTGTTAACATTCCAATAAGGGTTTAGACTAGGAGGAAGAGAAAAACACACAACTTGTTCTTTGTTCACATATTCACCTGCAATCAACATAAAAATATTTACGATAAAAGACTGGGAAAGTCACTAAAAAAAAAAAAGCTTTAGCATAGCATTAAGGATACCAAATAATGTATCATATCCTTGCAGAACACCAAACTCAAAAGAACTCTGAAAACTAGATGGTACCAGCCAATTTAACCTTCATCTGCCTTCTAAGAACTTACTAAACACATTACAAAATGCACACTAAAACTCTGCCTTTTTCATTTCATGCAGAACGCACAAAGTTGCAGTTTCACAAGATGAAGCTGGTGTTGGTGTTGAATGCTTCAGGAATTCCCCCTCCATTCCCAAGAAGCTTGTTTCCAGCCCAACAACGTGCAATCTCTCACTCAGGCCAGCTGGTCTAGTTGAAAAATCTTGCAAAACACGTTCACCTTCAAAACTATACCAGCTCCCCTATCCAGTTCACACCATGACTGCATGAATCAGTGGTTCCAAGGAAACAAAAGGGCAATGAGTACCAGGGCCAACACCACATTAAGCCATGTAACATCACCAAATGCTGCTTCATGAAGTAGACTATTTGATCACTGTAATACTCAGTTCAACAAACCTTTCTTGCTTAAAACAACAGGGAGAAGGCGTGCTGGTAAGCCATTAATCACATCTATCCACATTACAAGGTTTAAAAACCTCCAAATAAACACCAACAAATAGATTAAAATTTAATCACTTCATCTTGTGCACATGATGTTGTCCCACAAAACATTTCTGTTAGTTACAGATCGGACATAACAAATTTCATCTATAGCAGCCCTCACTTCAGGGAATACCAACATAACAACACAGACCAGCAGAAGACCCAAGACAGGAATCACCCATATTACTTTATTCACATTTGCAGGACAGAACATGTAAAGGCCTGAAGGGCCTCGGTCCCCAGAACACTGCCTTCAGCTACAGAGCAGAAAGTAAAGGACAATCCAGCCTCCCTAAGGCCTTGTTCTAGCATCACCTTTCTTTCCAATGCTCCAGTGATGAAAAAAACCCTTCCAACTACACACAGAATCACCCCTTCATAGCTTCACAAGCATATCCTCCAGCAGAAGTGATATCCTCCAGCAGAGGTGACTAGGTAAGAAGCCACCCCTTCCAAGTTATGCCAGTACAACTGTCTGTGTGGCTGTGCCATCAGCAGAACTGAAGAACAACCAAGGTTAAAAATAATCACTTTTCCTGAGTTATTTTTAACTTTGAGAAATTACCCTATCAGGTTCACTGCATGGCAACCCAAACACTTGCAATGAAGAGGTATTGCAGAGGCAGTAGCTTCTTCAGTTCACAGTTGTGTCAAAATAAGCATTTATAAAACGCATCACTCACTTTCCACAGTCCCAGGAAGGGAGAAACATCTGCTGCCTTGGTCTTTTTTGCCTGAATTCTCATCAGACAACCTAGGCTGGAATATAAAATTCAGGCTGCTTTATGAACTGGTTTTGTGAAGTGTTTCATAGAGAGCAGCAATGCAGATGATGTTTCTTTTTTTTTTTTCTCCCTCACTCAAAAAACTTTAGCTGATCCACTAATCTCCTGCCCGCTTGTTCCTCAGTCTCCACCTCCACCTCCTTTCACGTGCTCTCCACAATCTCATCCTTATTTCTGTTCACGCATTTTCTTTCTTCTCATCTAGCTGAATCATTACCTAAATCTTAAGTGACACCATACATATCAAAACTTCAAGCAAAAAACTGCACAAAATTAATGGACCATCACACAACTTAAGTTACATCCCTTTTCTACGCTCAACACTATTCCCTTCTAACATAGCCTAGAAGTAGCTCAGGGCAGAAACTGTACACAACTGCGCACTGAGTTTACCACCACACAACCCAGTTCAGATTTGTCCTTCAGGCAATACCAGCATTTAAAAACATATTAAGGAAAGGCCTTTAGAAAGGAGACTCCCAAGGCACCAGTATGTACCTGTTCCCTGTAAGGGCCAGAATAAAGGGGTGCCCTGCAAGCACAAGTATATATTCACACTTCCTACATCATTGCTGTCTCCTGGAACAACCTGGGAGAAGCCAAAGCTGCTCCTTGGCCTCAGGCATCTGAGCTGAGGCTTTGCTGGATCTTGTAACAGTATGAAAGTCCTGCTTGAGCCTGCAGTCACACAAGAACCTAATACTGAAAAGGCTTCTTAGGTGATCAAATGCTGTATTCTCTCAAATGATGATAACCAAATCATACACATTGACTACTGACACATTCACTAGGATACCTATTCCACACAGCATCCCTGAAATGTTCATGCACATAATGTCACTCTTTAAAAAAAACACCAAAAAAACTACCACCCAAAACTTAAATTCAGTGTTGTAAAGGAAATCCAAGTGTAAAGTAGCAACAAATTAAGACTTCTGTATCCAGAAGCTATAACAAGGCATTCAAAATGAGTTATGTGAATGGTTCCATACATTTAAGTTAACTTTCAAGACCAAGTGTTAATATTCGTCTTGACAAATAAATACCACTTGTTATTTGCAGGATGAACTGGAAGATATACATACATATAAGACAGTGTATTTTTGTAACTGTTAGGAACAACCTTCCCACAAATTAAGAAAACTTTCAGATGATTCACCAGATATTTATTTTAATTACCTCCCTCTTCCACTTACTACATAAGCCTCACTAATGGCAAAACTGGAAGCTTATGGAAAGAAATAGGAACTCGTTGCGTACAGAGCTCAAATCTTTTTAGCCAATATATTGCTTCTTTTTCTCATTCAACAAACCTATCTATTAGAAACTCTACTTCTGGCTAGCTTCACTTTATTCCAAGTACCAACATGAAACCAAGCCAAGTTGTTTTCAGATATCTAGCACATATTAATCACTTTAAAAAAAAAATCCGCTGCAGTCATTGTACGCTTATTCCAGTAACAAGTTTGTTTACTTTTTCAACAAGATAGTGAATACAAACATACGATGTAAATTATAAAACTGGATGGAGCACAGGGAAGAAACACCACTTACAGACACAGTCTTAAAAAAAAAAAAAAAAAAAGACTGTGGCAATACATCTATAACAAAAAGCACACAGATCATATACGGACATCTGTGCACATATGTAAAAGACAACAAACCGAGGACATTTTATTTCTACTTTTTCACAACAAGAATTAAAAGTTTAAGATTACTGTCATCTCTTCATATGGCATTAACCTTAAGGATTTTATTGGTCAGTAGTAGTAATTTTTTTTATCTCTTGCTGTATGCTTCCATTGCAACATTTATCAGCATTGTTTACTGCTCAGAGAAAAAACAGTTTGCAGGGCAAACATAAAAACAAAGGTTTATTGCATTAAGGTTTATATCTGCTTACTCATATTTATTTTCTCAAAGTTACACAGCATTCGAGGGCTCTTTTGTTTGCTTGTTTTGATAAAGGAGTAAAAGAGGAGGAGAAGAAAAAGCAAGGGATTAATTTAACAAGATTAATGACTTTGCAGAAAGTCTAGAAAGTAAAACATCAGTTCTGAGCACCAAGAAAGTTTGCACAGGCTGACAGACACACATTATCCTATTTCTTTAATGAATACCGTAACAGTTTAATTCTGAAACAGCACCTCAAGTAAAGCCCACAGCTAGGCAGTAAAACCACATGCAGTCAAACAGCATACTGTTTACATATCATAAAAAAAAGACAGCCTGTTTTTAAATATTGATTCTCATAAGCAACAAGGCAGGATCAAGCTTTTCAAGTATACATAAATAAGGATTTCAACATTACTTTAGAAGCATTAAACAGTGCTTTCACTTCTGTAATAACCACCTTTCATAGGGTAAAAGAGTCTTCCATAAAATAGAAAAAGCACGCAGAGCAGCAAAGTAATTCAAGTAAAGCAAATGTTTCACAAAGGACAACTGAAAAGGCAACAAGCTAAACTTTTTTTTTTTTAAACAGCCTTTTAAGTGTCAGATGGATACCAATTACGATGATGCTTGCTCTAGAAGCGAGAAAGCAAAT